ATCTCTGGGACTGAAGTGATTGCAAGTTCACACCAGGCGAAGCAAGATTTTCAAGTATAAAAATCTTCCTAGAGGTAGCATTTCTTGCTTTTAGCAAGGTATGAATCACAGACTCAGAATCCCCTCAATCCATTAGGACCTGGGTTCCAACAGCAACATGCCATTAAAGCCAGAGACTGCGCAACAGGGTGGAATGGAGGGTTTTGAGATAGCAGATCTGGCCTGTTGGGAGGAGGCCAGGGGTCTTTTGCAGGAGGTCCGAGTATGTCTGTGTACCAGGTTCTTCTGGGCTAGTTTGGTGCCAAAACAATCATTGTCTGTCTTGCTCTATTTTGTGGAGCAGGCGAGGAAGAATGTTCAGTTGACAAAAGGCATACATTAGCCTGAACTGAGACCAGGGGATAACTAGAGCATCCAGGGCCAAGGACAGAGCTGGAGGATCCCTGGTTCTGGATACAAAAACAGAGGTAATTTGTTGTATCTGGAAGCTGGAATGTCCACATTCAGAGTCCCCAATTTTTGGCATATCAGAATGAACACATCTGGGTGAAGAGACCATTCCCCATGATGAAATCACTGGAAAGTGAGTTTCTGTCCACAAGAAAATCTGGTTTGTTTCCTTCAAGGCAACCAGAATCCTTGTGGCCCCTTGATGGTTGATACACAGTATGCAACTGTGGTGGCATTGTCTAACTGCTTCCAAATTGGGTGTCCCTTCAGAAGGGGGGGGGGGGGTGCCTACAGGAAAAGCTTGACAGCTCAGAGTTCCAAGACATGGATAGAGAGTTTTGTCTCTTCTTTTGACCACGTCCCCTGAGCTGTCAAGGATTGGTTGATTCCTCCCAAGCCTGACAGACTTCTATACCTTGTAAGAACTTTCCAATTGTAGGTTAGGAAAGATTTTCCCACTGGTGATACACCAGAACAAGGATTTTCCTATTTGGGAGGATAGGAGTATTGGTAGATTCAGGGAAAGAGCCTGCTTCTCTCTGACAAAATGTGTACTTGGAGAGTTCTTGAATGGGATTGTGCAAAAGTACTGCCTCGAAGGAGGCCACCATTAGACTCAGAACGTTCATGACACATTTCACTGTGGGATTGTTTTTCAGGATCTCCGTTTTTGAGATGCTCTTAAAGAAAGAACTTTCTTTTCTGTAAGAGAGACATTTGCCTGGAATGTATCCAGGATCAGACCCAAATATTCTAGGCACATGAATAGCTGGAGAACATATTTTTTTTTAATTGATCACCCAGTCAAAGGTCCAAAGCAGCTGAATTGTCTTTTGGACATCTGCTGAGAGTTGTAAAGAGATGAATCCTTCAGAAGGTCATCTAGATAGCTTGTCACCTGGATGTCCTTAGTTCTGAGAAGGGCAAGCAAGGGTGCTAAGAACTTTGTGAACAGCCTGGGACCAGAGGATAGGCCAAAAGGCAGTTTTACATACTGAAAGTGGTCATATGTCACTGCAAACTGTTGACATCGCTGATGTGATGAATAAATGTGAACACGCAGATATACTTCTTGGATGTCCATAGATGCCGTGTGTTCCCCTTGTCTCAGAGAGGCAATTACTGACCTTGCGAATTCTATACAAAATTTTGAAATGTGAACAAAATTTGTTGAGGTATTTTAAGTCCAAGATAAGACAGATACCTCCACTGGGCTTTGCTACTGTGCACAAGTTTGAGTAAAACCCCTTGAACCTGTCTTATGATGGTACTGGTACAATGACTCCCTGGAACAAGAGGTGGTTCAGGGCTTTTTGCAAATCTTAGTGTCTTTGGACAGTTTTTGGTTGATATGAAAGAAGAAAGCAGTGAGGTGGTAGAGTTTTGAACTATATCGATGACCTTTCTGAAACCACAAGTCTGGGATGTCTGTGACCCAGAGAGATACAAAACGCTCTTAGGAGTGAATGCGCCCTTTTGCTGTGAAGAGGGATTTGGAGAGGACTTGGTGGCCTTTGTGAGCCATGCCTTGCGCCAAAAGGAAGGGCTGATCATAGGTTTTGAAGTTGAAGCCTAGTTTAGAGTTGCTCTATGTTTTGAAGATCTGCAGCACCTGAGGAGGGGAATAAAACTTTCTTATCTGTGACCGCTTTGATAAATTGCTCAAGTGCCTCCCCAGCTTTTGTCCAGTTTAAAGAAAGCTTTTAAAAGAGACTCAAATTTCCTGTCAGCAGAACCTTTAGGACACAGGACATCTTCAATAGGTACAATGAAATGTTTGTTTAGCACAGATGCGGCAGGGTCAGCTACAGGAATAGCCCACTTTTTTTTTGTAAAAACATTTTCCACGGGGTAGAGCTCAGCAAAGATTTTGTGGGGAGTGAAAACTGTCATAGACTTCATATTCTGTTCATGAACAGGGAATGTTTTGCAAGTTTTTGTAGATGTCTTTTTACCCAAAAGGGGTGTGATGAGAAGGAGGAGCGTCAACCTGCACAATGCCAAGGCTTTTGTGGACAGAGGCAACATTAGCAAGCATGTTGTTTGAAGCTCCCTCTTCAATACAGTGACAGTGTGGGAGAGAGAAATCTTCTGCAGCTTCCTCCAACACTGCCAACTACAGCCTTTTTTATTCCTCTCCGATTCAGGGTATTTAAGGATTGGCATATCAGAGTCTGATTCCAATTGAGAAACAGGAGTAGAAGAGCCAAGGCATTTCTGAGCTCTGAACAAAAAATTGTGACATGCAGAGTATTTTGCCTTTGTCAAGTAGGCCGCTTTTTATGTGCCAGAAATAGAGCTAGAGTCAGATGCTGAAATTGGTGTTAAAACCATGCCCTGCTCCGCTGCAAAAGATGCATCATTACTGAGTTTTGTAGTATTTTTTTTTTTTTTGAGTATTGTGTGGACCTTCGGCAAAGCAAATGTTCTCCTGCTGTTTAAAATTGTCTCCCTTTCACCTGGTCTCCTCCATAGCTACAGCTGAGGGCATTCCAGAATGGAATACTAACAAAGTGGAGTGTGGGAGATAGGGCAAGTATGGTAGAAGTACACGGTAATCCAGGTGTAGACTGTCCTGCAATGAATCCTTGTGTCGAAAGGGTGGGAGAAAGTGCTTGAGTACCTTACTGTAGAAGGGCTCTAGGAGGAAACAGTGTTAAACTGTGTGACCAGTGGTATGATGCAACACCTGACTATCCAGCATAGACAAAGCTCTGAGTGGTTAAAATGTACTGCCAAGTTTGAAAAGTTTACACTGTGAAGTGAATATACTCCAAACGTAGCCCCATTTCAAACAGTACCAGTCAGACATACAGTATGACTATCCAAAATGATGGACTGTATTTAAACTCCAGGCTTCGCCCATCACAGTGGGTATACCCCTGAAGTGTCTTCAGGAACTGGCTTCCATGGTGATGGGCCACTTCCTGTGGCTAACAGTATATTGAACCAAGTGTCAAGGAATGTGATCCACACAGGATCCAGTGCCTGAAGCAACATTACAGGCTGTCCCCACAGTGTAGGGTCTGGTTCCCAAGACTTTACTGAAGTTGCATTTATAGAAAAGTGAAATATAGAAAAGTGACAGCAGAAAAAGACCGAGTGGTCCATTGATTCTGCTTGTTTTTTTTTTTTTTTGGGGGGGGAGGGGGGGGTGTTAATTTCTTTGTGAGTATAGATCTATGCTTGTCCCAAGCATGTTTGAAGCTATTTACTGTTGACTGGCTCACTACCTCTGCTGGAACTTTATTTCGAAGCATGAACTACTCTTTCAGTAAAATAGTACTTTCTGAGATTAGTTTTGAACTTTCCTCCAGTTAGGTTAAGGTCATGTCCCTGTGTTCTTGATTTTAGTTTTGTGTTTAAAATACTGTCCTCCTGAAACTTATTTACCCCCTTGATGTGTTTAAAGGTTTCAATCATGTCTCCTCTTTCCCTTCTTTCCTCCAGAACATATTGAGTTGAAGTCACTCGAGATGTTTTATCCCCCAGATCTTTCACCATTTTTGTTACCAGTCTCTGGACTCGTTCTATCCTATCAATATCTTTTTGTAAGTGAGGTCTCCAGAACTGGACACAATATTCTAAATGAGGTCTAACTAAACATCTAGGGGAATTGAGACCTCCTTCCTCCTGCTGGTGACCCCTCTAGTGATGCATTCTAGAATTCTATTTGCTTTCCCACTGCTTGGCCACATGGTTTGCTCATGTTGCAATCATCTGAAATAAGTACCCCCAAGTCCTTTTCCTCTGAAGTGCTGGCCAACAATGTACCCTCAATTTATCTTGATGCACTTCTACTTAGTAGACAGTAGAAGACTGTGAGGGTTGATTGAAGAATCAAAAGATACAATAAAAAAATGAATAAACTAGTGAAACTTGTTGCTTTGGGAGAAGAGTAGGGTAGGATTATGGGGGGGGAAACATTCCTCAAAAGCTTGCCATTGTCCAAGCGCCTGCATGTACGAGCCTTTAACCCATGGTGTATGAATAAACTGCTTGTGTCCTGTACTGTATGATTAAGATAATTGCTTTACTTTGCTGCAAACGGAGCCAGGTTTCATGGCAATGTAACTCAAGCGTGCATGAATACAAAGCTTCCTTTGATTGGCTGCGGTGGAGAGGCAGGCTGATGACATCACAATCTCCAACTCACCCAATCAAAGGTAGCTTTGTATTCATTCACAGAATACAAAACTGCCAATGAATGGCTGAGCAATGCTCAGACTGACTATTTTGTCCTGTGTGAGACACAGGAAGTCTCTGTCTTACAGCTAAAGCTACATACAGTTCATACAGCGCTCAAGGCCAATTGCAGCAGTTAGTGAAAGAAATAGTTTGTTTAGACTAGCTTGGTCCAAACAAACTATTTAACGCGGCAAGAAAGTTGGAGATCAGCTTTAAAAATATGGCCTGTAAAAAGATACCCTCTTTCTAATCTCTAAATTCTAAGAGAGGAATGCATGCATCGTCACCAGAGCCTTATGCTGTGCTGCAGCCTTGGTATTTGTATACATAAGGAGCAAATGGTTTTATCGAACCTCCCTCACCGATTCAGTCCCTGGCAGTAGCCAATATCAGGATTCCTCCAGGAATAAGCTAGCAGGACATTGCGTAGCTTCTGGATGCCCTCAGAGGTGGATGATGTATAGTGCTTGTTGTTTGGCAGTGTTCTCATAAGGTCCAGTTCTATCTGTTTTGAGGCTGGATTTTGCTTCTCAAGGGCATTACGGAGAAGGGTTTCAAAGTAATCCGGAGTGACCTCAACCTTTAATTTCTTGATGTGCTGGTTTACAAACAATTTCCACATTTTAGAACGATGTTGGTGGGGGATTCCATTTCGGACAAGGCTTTTGAGCTCTGGTGAACGGACCATTTCTCGGTTTACCATGTTAGCAAAATAGTTTTCCCACTTCACCACTGTTGAAATCTCTTGATTATCCGACAGGGACAAAGACTTGATATCCAGGGCCCTTACTTTGGCCACCAATCTTTCCTCATCATCTTCATCCTCAGGAAGGATCTGGAATCCATAGATGTCATGTTTGCTGCACATGAGATTACAAAAGGACAGTTAAAAAAATAATGGCACTTATTTTCCTGTTACAGATTTTATGTGTCAGCATGGTTTATTACAGTTTAACCGTACATCACTCATGTTGGGGTACTTTCTCATGGGCCGAGTCCAGTCTGTTGAACAGATCCCTTGATGAATCAAAGCACAACAGGATGGATGCCACTAACTTGACATTCATACCCATTCATTTTTTTCAGCATTTTTACAGTTAACCTTTCTGCACCGGGTGGCCAGAAAACAGATTTGTAGCCGTTTAAATCAGGATACCTTCAATCCATCATGTTTTTTTTTTGGATAAACAGAAAAGGATGCAGTCCTTTTATAAATTTTTTCTGGGTTTGGTTGAACTCAGAGGAAAGTGGATGTAAATGGACACAAATCAGTTTACATTCACTAGCCCAGATTTACATAAGGATTCTGATCAGGTCTGCTAAAAAAAACTGAAAACTGAATCTAAACAGAAAAAACATGTGAAAAGACTCTTAACCACTTTAAGTCCTGACACTTTTACCCCCTTCCTGTCCAGGCTAATTTTCAGCTTTCAGTGATATCACACTTTGAATGACAATTTTGTGGTCATGCAACACTGTACCCATATCAATTTTTTAGCATTTTTTTGAGACATAACAAAATATATTTTGGTGGTAATTATTCACCACTGGGATTTTTATTTTTTTGCTATATAAATAAAAAAGTCCAAAAATTTTGAAAAAAAGTGTTTTTCTTATAAAATTTTGCAAATAAATAATCTTTCTACATAAATCTTGGCCAAACTATATTCGGTTATCTTTTTAGTAAAAAAAAAAAAAAAACCCAAATTAGTTTATAACCAAAATTTATAATTTTTCTAAATTTTTTTCTTAATTTTTATATTATTATTTATGTTTTATTTTAACATACTCACCCTAGCAGTACAGTGTCACCATAGTGAGTGGGGGGTGATGAAGATTTTTTTTTTTTTTTTTTTTTTTATATGCGGATTGCTTTTACACCCATAAAAGGCTGTAAAAGCAATAATTTTCTCTTCTCTCTGGCTGCATTCTTGCATACTGTGTGAGCTGTGACTGGTCACAACTTGTCACATGGTATAAGGCTGTTGTGAATAGCCTTGTACCATGTGACCTCTGATCATTCACAGATTTCACTAGTAGTAAGCAATGATGTCAGAAGTGACATCTTGCTTACTACTATTCATGTGATCACTGATTGGTAAATCAGTGACCACATGATCGGGACCTCACAAAGAGGACACAGCAGGAACCGAATCGCGGTGCCGCGTGCTCCCAGCCTGAAAATGCGGGTGCCGTTTATGAACGGCAACCCGCTCCTGCACTGTCCGGCTGTTTATGTACATGGGCCAGACGGGAAGTGGTTAAAGTGTATCAAAACCCAAGAACAAAACTGCAAAATATTGCAGCTTGCCAGTCCTATGATAAAGTGGCTACATTCATTTTCTTTTTTTTCCCATGCCTTTTTACTTTATTTTCATCCAGTGATTCTGCCAGTAGCATTTCCTGTCCTAGGGCAACAGTGCTCATGCTCTGTACTGTATCTATGAGGGAGCAGCACTGTCATGTCACCCTAAAAAAAGGCTACAGAACACCTCACCCTCGCCTCTTCTCCATAACATAGGGAGGTGTTTTGTAGCTGGAAACAATGCTAACTGATAACAGTCAGTACAGGTAGAGAACACTGAAAGATCAGCTCTTCCGGCAGGTTTAGCATGCAATTGTATTTGCACATTTCAAATAGATAAAAGCTTCTAATGGAATCTTTAAAAGCTAACTCTCCCCTAGCAACTGCTGTCACTTTTGAAATTTGTGCGGCTGTGCAGGGCTTCACCCGTAAAAAGCCAAGTCATCCATTTACAGAGAACTGTGAATGAATGTACTACAAGTACCAATTGTCACAGAGGCAGACAGACCTGTAGCTCTCAATGAAACACGACTGCTGTAACCTCCACACTTTTAGTCCTTTGACACTTCCTCCCAACTCTCTAACTTTACCCTTGGTATGGGTATGGAGCTGGAAAAAGTCTGTAGGAACTTGGTATTGCACTCATCATCCGCAGGTCGCGGTTGCAATGATTTGCCAAAAATAAATAAAATAATAAATCCACACTTTTTTCCTGCAAAATTTATATGTGCATTTATTATTGTTTTGCAAAAGGTTGCCTTTAACAGAACAAAAGGGAGAAAATTTACATATATTTTAATGAGAAACTATTGGCTCTGCCAGCCTATCTGATCACTATGCTTTTTGACTTGCCAAATGAAAACTGAAAAGCTACAATATCCAATAACCCCGGAAACCACTAAGCAACTTATTCACTCCCTTGTTATATCTCGCCTTGACTATTGTAACTCCCTACCTAATCGCAGGCTATCCACTCTTCAGTCTATCATGAATGCTGCTGCCAGACTCATCCACCTTACTAACCGTTCTGTATCTGCCACCCCTCTCTGTCAATCCCTCCACTGGCTTCCCATTGCCCAATGGATAAAATTCAAAACATTAACAATAACATGTAAAGCCATTTATAACTCTGCCCCAAATTACATCACCAATCTTGTCTCCAAATACCACCCAAACCGTACTCTCCACTCCTCGCAAGACCTACTCTCTAGCTCCCTTGTCTCCTCCTCCCATGCTCGTCTCCAGGACTTCTCCAGAGCTTCCCCATCCTCTGGAACTCTCTACCCCAATTTATGAGACTATCGCCTACTCTGCTCACTTTTTTGAAAACCTCTCTCTTCAAGGAAGCCTATCCTGCCCTCAGCTAATAATAGAATCTTCTACTCTTCCAACCAGTTCATCCCCCACAGTTGCTACCTTTTGTACCACTAGCCCCTCCTCTCCTAGATTGTAAGCTCCAAGGAGCAGGGCCCTCCTATCCCTCTTGTATTGAACTGAATTGTTGCTGTATTGTCTCCCGTTATATTGTAGAGCGATGAGCAAACTGTTGGCGCTATATAAATCCTGCATAATAATAATAATATTCTTTGGGTCAGTCCAATAACCACAAATTACATTTCTGATTGAGACATAGGGTGTGTCTCTGACCTCTGTTTCCCCGTCTGAGCAGGGCCCAATCCTTTACTCCTCTCTAGGGAAGAAGAAAGAATTTAAAACTGTTGTTCATATGTCACTTTTCCTGATGACTAGTTACTGAGCAATTTCTAAATCTGAATGTTGTTCTAATAATGGCAGTGGCTTATATCTCTTTCTATTTATTTCTAGATCTGTTTCTGCCCACCTTTGATTTTTAAGTGCTTCCACAATTCCTGCTGCATTCTTCGGAATATATAATCATTTAAAAATCCAACAAAGAAAGTGGGACCTCCTCCAATAGTCCACTGCAGGTATGCAGCCATCTCACCCCTGCAATCTTTATAGTGGCCTAAGCACCAGTGGTGTATTTAGGTTTCGTGCTGCCCTAGACAACACAAACATCGGCTCCCCTCCTCCCACGGAGAGACCCTGACACCAACCAACACCCCTTCCCCCACATGAAGAGAGCCTGACATTGACCAACGGCTCAGCTCCCCACCCAAGGGAGCCTTCTACTACCACCGCCCCCCATACACTGGCTACCCCCCACCCCGGCGAGAGAGAGAAGACCCTCACCTTCACAGCTCTGGACATCCCCGGGAACAAGAGTCGGGCTCTGCATACACCACCAAGCAGCCCGCAGCCTCTCTCAGATCCTACCTGGTCCCCGTTCTGTGTGTGTTCTTTCTTCCATCCCTTCTTCCAGGGGGCGCTGCTGCCCCCCTGAAATATGCCGCTGACCCCTTGAAAAATGCTGCCCTAGGCAAATGCCTTGTTTGACTTGTGGCAAATACGCCCCTGCTGAGCACATTCTGCTTACTTCCAGCTGCTCTTGAGATCCAGCCATCTATTCCAGACAACACAGCTTGCAGATTGCAAAATTTGGTGCAGCTCTGCATAGAAACCAATTAGCTTCCAGGTTTTATTGTCAAAGCTTAATTGAACAAGGTAGAGTTAGAAGCTGATTGGCTATCATGCAAGGCTGCACCAAATTCTGAGTGCACTAGTTTTAGTAAATCACTCCTTATGTTGTTTTACACTATTTGATTTATTATTATTTCTCTGTGACCATCACTTGTTTATTATTGCTCTGTGTATTTAAGCTGTCTTCTGTCTAAGCTGAGCTCTTTCTCTCACCGTACTTGTGTATATCCCTCCCCCCCTGCCTCTCTCTGTAGTCATTCCACTGTATCCTGTCTACCTGTATGCATCTTTCCATCAGACTTACAACATTAACATTTTTCTACCTATGATTACCCTCCATTAAACAGAACATTCAAATGGTTTTCCTCGAGTATAAGCCGATCCGAATATAAGCCGAGGTACCTAATTTTACCACAAAAAACTGGGGAAAAACTATTGACTCGAGTATAAGCCGAGGGTGGAAACACCAGTGGGAAGAATCGTGCCTCATCATTGGTGTCAGTGGGAGGAATAGTGCCCCATCATTGGTATCAGTGGGAGGAATAGTGCCCCATCATTGGTGTCAGTGGGAGGAATAGTGCCCCATCATTGGTGTCAGTGGGAGGAATAGTGCCCCATCATTGGTGTCAGTGGGAGGAATAGCGCCCCATCATTGGTGCCAGTGGGAGGAATAGCGCCCCATCATTGGTATCAGTGGCAGGAATAGTGCCCCATCATTGGTATCAGTGGGGGGAATAGTGCCCCATTATTAGTATCAGTGTCAGGGGAATAGTGCACCCCATTATTGGTGTCAGCGGGAGGAATAGTGCCCCATCATTGGTGTCAGTGGGAGGAATAGTGTCCCATCATTGGTGTCAGTGGGAGGAATAGTGTCCCAACATTGGTGTCAGTGGGAGGAATAGTATCCCATCATTGGTGTCAGTGGGGGGGGGTGGAGGAATAGTGCCCCATCGTTGGTGTCATGGGGGGGGGGGGAAGTGCCCCATCGTTGGTGTCATGGGGGGGGGGGGGGGAAGTGCCCCATCGTTGGTGTCAGTGGGGGGGAGGAATAGTATCCCATGATTGGTGTCAGTGTGGGGGGGGTGGAATAGTGCTCCATGATTGGTGTCAGTGGGGGGTGGAATAGTGCCCCATCATTGGTGTCAGTGGGGGGGGGGGGGGGGGGGAGGAATAGTGCCCAATCGATGGTGTCAGTGGGGGGGAGGAAAAGTGCCCCATCGTTGGTGTCAGTGGGTGGAATAATGCCCCATCATTGGTATCAGTGACACCAATGATGGGGCACTATTCCTCCCACTGACACTTGCTGACCCCTGTTCCAGTATGGTGCTGCTGCAGCCAGCATATGTGGTTGCAGCAGCACCTAAGCACCACCTCCTCACCGGTGATTGGCCGCCTGTGTGCCTTTCCTGAGCTACAGTTCTGGCGGCCAATCACCGGTGAGAAGGCGGAGCCGAGCAGCCGCGCGAACATCCAGTGGACGAACCGAATGAAGGAGCAGCCGCGCTTCCTGGACCGGATCGTCGTGGGACCGGAGCCAGGTAAGAGACAGCAGCCCCCTGCCCACCCCTGTACTTAGTTTCCCTTCTGTTGGAAGGGGGGGGGAAGCCATCTGCAGACGTTGACTTGAGTATAAGCCGAGGGGGCCGTTTTTCAGCACAAAAAATGTGCTGAAAAACTCGGCTTATACTCGAGTATATACGGTACCATAGTTTGTAGACGCTAGAAAACTTTCACACAAACCAATTAATATACATGTATTGGATTGTTTTGGTTTTTTTTTTTAACAAAAGACACGTAGCAGAATACATTTTGGCCGAAATTTATGACCAACTGAGAAGTTTTTGAAAATAGAAAATATAATTTTTTTTTTTTTCAGTCTTTTTTTGTTTATATCACAAAAAAATAAAAACCCCAGTGGTGATCAAATACCACCAAAAGAAAGCTATTTGTGTGAAAAAAAGGACATACATTTCGTTTGGGTACCTCGTTGCATGACCGCGCAATTACCAGATTAAACAGGGCAGTGCCGAATAGCAAAAGTTGGCCTGTTCATCTTCCGGAGGGCAAGTGATTAAACTAACAAACCACAGTAACTTAAATATTAATTCACGTGGTCATGTTAGCCCTTGTACATTTTAACTAGTAGTCACCCATCTTCCCTTTTAAAGCAAGATCAAGCAAACTTTACCTAGCCTAGAACATTTGTAAGCAATGACATGTAATAGCAGCCACCACTAGGTAGTTACACTTCAGCACTGATGTTACCTTAGAAATGTTTTTGGCCAGGTCTGTTAACTTTAGTTTACATTCCATAGCTACAGAGATAACATAGTATAAAATAATGGAAAGGGTTAAGATGTCCAAATGCAAGAACTTTACTCTCAACAACTGTATTACTCACTATGGATTTTGGCATGTTTTGTCATCATAAAGCAGGTGAGGTTTTAGTCAGGATTTGTTTTGTACACAAGGCTGAAGGCACTAACCATTACAATGCTCATAATTCCAATGAACATTTAAGCAGCAACTGCATTTTGCAGTTCATAATCCACCAGACTAGCTGATGATGTCCATTTGGAAGTATTTCTTTTCTGATATAATACACAGCAGTTAGGCCTTCTCAGACAAGTAGCAGCTTCTCCTATAAAAGGTTCTAGGTACCTCATAGTGTGTGGTCTGATGAATGTGTGCTCTGTATGCTCAGCCGTCTCCACCTTTAATGCGTCCTCCAACAGCTGGTTAACCACATCTCGAGCAGGTCCTTCCCCATCAGAATACACTGGTGTCTTCATTTCTTGGAGGAGGACAAGGTACTTGCTCTCAATCTGACAAATTTTGGCCTCTAGGGTAGCATACTACAGAAAGAAGGATACATTAAAATTTTGCTTACCATAACTATAGAATACTTTACAACTCATAAAATATAAAAGGGTCTACTACGTACACCATCCCAAAACAGCTTGCTTAGCTTGGGATAGCACATGCGTGTATTCATATTACAAAAAACATTCATCTGAAAACATGCAGAGTTTTTAAAACGTGAAGGCAAAGCCCTCCTATAGCTTGTATTTGAGTCCTGGGTAAAAGTCATTGTGAACATTCACCCAAAGGTTCTTGTGGGCTTTGTGGACAGTAATCTTTCTGCATCCAAGTTTTTGGCTCTGACCAAACACTCCTAAATTACACAAAGGGTTTTCTACTGATTTCACATTACAGAGTATGCAGCTACAGGGCTAGCTTTCAGGGAGAATTTTTAATTTGCTAATAGGAGGATGTTTGAGTTTCTAATAGGTGATGCATGCATTGATGTCCTTGAAAAACCCAAAGACTAGCCTTACCTAGTTCACCTTTCTGAACTTGAGACTACCTTTCAGGTGACTGTTTATATTTTTTGTGTTTTTTTTAATTAAAAAGATTCTTCAGATTTCCAAAGGGTGTAAACTCCTTGTTATCTCTTTGGAGGCTAAGAAGACTATTTTACATAAGTTTCAGTTTTTTTGAGAAATTGTGGTTTGCACATTCCATATGGAGTGGAGCCCTCTCTAAAGGTAGTTCGGGTTAAAAAAATGTTTTAATTTATAATAATCGTTTATAAAATCACTGTGTGCTGACACTCAATCAATAGCACAGTGCTTTCAATATACCCAATGGTACTTAACCAAACTACTTTATAGTGAACCCCAAATTATTATTCCCCTTTCTGAGAAACCAATTCAGGTTAACCCCCCTGTCTAAGGCAGCATATACACAAACTGAAAATCCCACTGAACTGGCCAAATTTCAGTGCATGTGTACTGCTGTAAGTTCAACAGACAGCAGTACAAATGCTTGAAAACCAGCATTTGCTCAATGGCTGCAATACTGATCTGTCCTCCGCTGCCAGAATACAACAGAATGGCAGGAGGGATCCCTGCATCAACATAGTTTGTGTTGATGCGGGGATCTGTCAGGTTTTTTTATTTTCTTTCAACCTGCCGGTTGAACGAAAAAAAATTTAGAAAAAATTAGCATATATATCCTGCTTAAGGCTCTTGCCACTTCAGGTAAATGGGGTATGCAACTGACCACCACCTTCTGTTCATCTGATTATTGTATGTCTATTGCGCTAATTGTATGTCTATTGCGTATCTTAAACGACTAAAAGGTATCATATTTGTATTGTATTATGTTATATATATATTTTTTATATAAATCTCCTTTGCGATTTTGTTGTTGCTTGGGGCCTCAGTCCTTTGGTGATGGGTCCGGGCTTCAACAAAATGGCGACGATGCGGAACTAGTGGTTACCAGGTCAATATAGATGGATGTAATACTCACCTGCTTAATATCCCTGAAGTCACATCATGCGTGAGGCAACACATCGGACTGAAGCGTGGTGACCTAATTTTCGGTTATGGCTACGATCTCCGCCATCTTTGTTTCTAAGACCTGTACCATTATTTTCATATTTATTGAACAGGCAGGCTTCTCTTTTGAGATCCTACATGGTATGGCCAGGTGACTGGAACTCTGTTTTCTTGGCCTAAATGTTGTGGTCTCTTACTTGTCATTTTCCCTCTGATGGTACACTTGCATCACTGCTCTTGGACAAATGTTTCAGCCTTACAAATGGCCTATACATTCTCGCTTATTGAATGAAATTGAAAAAAAAAAAAAAAAAATTGTAATGCTTCTGTGTTATATAACTGGTACAAGAATTACTCATATGTTATGTTAATTAGCTGGCTTATTATCCACACCTTTTTACATCTGCTATGTCTTCCCATCTTGCTGTCAGGAAACACTGCAACTGTGCTAAAGACAAGAATTTTCACTCCAGTTACCTAATTGGAATTTTTACTTTTCTGTGCTGATCGTTAATTTAATATTTTAGTTTATATGCATGAGTAGGAGATATATTGCTACTGTACATGGAGCTTCTTTGTGTACTGGGCCTTGCTAATTGGCTCTCCTACTTTTGAATGCTTTACACATCTACCATGTAAAGGTCAAGTATATAATTATGGAATGTATGCGGCATTTGTCTAAAAATGGAAAAACGTTCAATAAAAAGAAATTTTAGTTAATTTAGGGGTCTCACGTTCCTGTTGTATGTGGATCTGGGCAGGAAAGTTGGGCTATAAAGCCTCCCTATCTTGCTTCTATGTATGTTTATTGAGGCTGCTGTAAACCAAGAGAGGATAGCTCATGTAACAGGAACAAAATGACATGCAGTTGTGGCAATGCAAACATTCTATTACAGTGATCAGCGTTGGCCTTATCTCAGAGAAACAATTGTGATAGGCGAGGAAAATCTATTCAGAAACATCATCTTCCCAAGAGCTTTTATCAGCCAGTGGGTGCTTTGTATCCTTCTCATACACATAAACCTATTTTCTAATCCAGCCAATAGCAATCATCTTTGTAGGATATTGTAAATATATATGGTTTATATTCATGTTATTGACCAAAAGGATAGCCAATGACTCCTTACTATGTTAATGTATGCACCAGGTAATTACCTTATCTTTGTTATGTTCGGTTAACCTGTTTTTGGATAAATATGTGGAGAGTCAGGGGGAGTTTCAGAGGTTATTTGCAAATCTACCAACATTGTAAAATGCAAGTTTGTCTGATTAGATTTGGAAAGGTCTTAAATATTCATAGTGTACATGTTTATGGTGAAGCAGGGGCGGACTGACCATTTGGAAACTCGGCCACTGCCCGAGGGCCCGGGGTCAGTAGGGAGTCCCATGAGATGCCCCTGGTACCTTTTTCATAGGCTTTTTTGAGTTTGGGCAAGGACACAGGGACCCCATGATCCCCTATTGCCCAGGGGCCCCATGAGTCCGCCCCTGCGGTGAAGAGAATTTCAGTTTTGCCAAAAACAAGACAAGGAGTATCTATTTAACTTTTTAATTAAAATCTATGCATACAGCTGTCCTAGGTCTAGACACATTGTTTTTAACACATAAGATCAAACATGCTCATAAAACCAACCAATCAGATTGCTCGAGACTTTGGTCAGTGGGAAAAGGTGTATATCAGGGAAGTTTGTTTGGTTGTTTGGTTGAGTGGTGACAGGAGAAAATGGGTCCTCTGAAGGTTTCTGATGATTGCATGAATATACTAAGTACCCTGTCATCTGCCTTGTCTTTACCTCTGTTTTATGAATTGTTTCTGAGCTGATCTCTGGAATAGAACTGTTGGACTAGTTGCTGCAGGAAAATACATTTATAAATACACTAGTCATCCTCATGATATAAGACAACAATCTTGTGTTGTTAGATACCATAAGGGCTGATTCGCATTGCAATTGATTTGCATTGGGATTCTGTGCAATACCAAAATACATGTTGCATCCATTGGTGCGTTGCAGTGCCATTAATTATGAACGATACAATGCAGCCTGCCGCATCTTCGTGTGCGTGTTGCTGTGGGCTTCAACCCATTTATTTTTGGGCTGCAATTTTTAAGGCAATGTGCATCAACACACAGCACTGTAGTGACGAGTCCCTAAAATAGTATTACCACTTCTGACAAACCTCAAGTGACCTGGACATTTAGCATGGACAAATCTTTACAGATGATGCCACCCATACAGGAGAGAGCTATGTTATGAGATCTGATTTGCAGCTTCACTTCTAAAAACCTCACCTTTGACTCCAGTTCTTGTTCCCTTCTTTCAGAGTTTCTTCGCAGAGCTGAAAGCTCCAATATTTCTTTGTTAAGAAACTTGTTTTGTGCTTTGTATCCTTGCAGACTGTCCTGTGAATAGATAGTTACAAAGGCAAAAACTTAAAAAAAAAAAACAACAGATCTTGAGGACTCGGCATGAGTATAATATACTGCAAAAAGTATCATCAGTATCATTTCTTGTTTCTGCTGAAGGTCAAAACACAAAATGGCTGATTCCTTCTGCACCTGGAACAGCTCATTCAAGGTCAATACAGAACTTAGAAATATTGCTACTTTTCAGACTTTCAATATCCTCTTTGCAAGGAACATCCAGTTGTGTTCGTTCACTGAAAGTTATTACTTTTGTAATACCATATGCACTATACAGTGAGGAACAGAATTATTTGAACACCCTGCGATTTTGCAAGTTCTCCCACTTAGAAATCATGGAGGGGTCTGAAATTCACATTGTAGGTGCATTCCCACTCTGAGAGACAGAATTAAAAAAAAAATTCAGGAAATTACATTGTATGATTTTTTAAAGAATTTATTTGTCCTGCACTGCTGAACATAAGTATTTGAACACCTGAGAAAATCAGTGTTAATATTTGGTACAGAAGCCTTTGTTTGCAATTACAGAGGTCAAATGTTTCCTGTAGTTCTTGACCAGGTTTGCATACACTGCAAAAGGGATTTTGGCCCACTCTTCCACACAGATCTCCTCTAGATCTGTCAGGTTCGGGGCTGTCGCTGAGCAACACGGAGTTTCAGCTCCCTCCAAAAGATGTTCTATTGGATTTAGGTCTGGAAACTGGCTAGGCCACTCCAGAACCTTGATATGTTTCTTACGGAGCCACTCCTTGGTTATCCTGGCTGTGTGCTTCGGGTCGTTGTCATGTTGGAAGACCCAGCCACAACCCATCTTCAATGCTCTGACTGAGGGAAGGAGGTTGTTGCTCAAAATCTCACAATAAATGGCCCCATTCATCCTCTCCTGAATACAGTGCAGTCGTCCTGTCCCCTTTGCAGGATGTTACCACCCCCATGCTTCACAGTAGGGATTGTGTTCTTGGGATGCAACTCATCCTTTTTCCTCCAAACACGAGTGAAAGTTTAGACCAAAAAGTTCTACTTTGGTCTCATCTGACCACATGACTTTCTCCCATGCCTCCTCTGGATCATCCAGATGGTCATTGGCAAACTTCAGACGGGCCTGGACATGTGATGACTTGAGCAGGGGAACCTTCCGTGCAATGCATGATTTGAAACCATGACGGCGTAGTGTTCTACCGACAGTGACCTTTGAAACTGTGGTCCCAGCTCTCTTCATGTCATTGACCAGCTCCTCCCTTGTAGTTCTGGGCTGATTCCTCACCTTTCTTATCATCAATGATACCTCACAAGGTGAGATCTTGCATGGAGCCCCAGTCCGAGGGAGACTGACAGTCGTCTTTAGCCTCTTCCATTTTCTAACAATTGCTCCAACAGTTGATCTATTTTCACCAAGCTGCTTGGCAATTGCCCAGTAGCCCTTTCCAGCCTTGTGGAGGTCCACAACTTTGTCTCTGGTGTCTTTTGACAGCTCTGTGGTCTTGCCCATGGTAGTAGTTGGCATCTGACTGACTGTGGGGTGGACAGGTGTCTTTAAAGAGCTCAGACAGGTGCTACTCAGTTAGATTAATGAGTGAAGTAGAGGTGGACTTTTTAAAGGCACAGTAACAGGTCTTTGAGAGCCAGAATTCTTACAATGTGATTTCCTGAATTTTTTTTTTTTTTTTTTTTTTTTTTTTAATTCTGTCTCTCAGAGTGGGAATGCACCTACAATGTGAATTTCAGACCCCTCCATGATTTCTAAGTGGGAGAACTTGCAAAATCACAGGGTGTTCAAATACTTCTGTTCCTCACTGTATACACAGTTAGGTCCATATATATATATATTTGGACACAGACACAATTTTCATACTTTTGGCTCTGTATGCCACCAGAATAAATTAAAATGAAACAATCCAAATGAATCTGAAGTGCAGACTTTCAGCTTTAATTCAAAGGGTTGAACATAAATATCAAGTACAAATTTTAGGAACTGCAACCATTTTTATACACAGTCCTTCCATTTTCATGGGCTCAAATGTAATTGGACAAATTATTATCAAATAAAATGTTCATTTTTAATATTTTGTTGAGAATCCTTCACTGGCAATGAATGCCTGAAGTTTGGAACCCATGGACATTATCAAAGACTGGGTTTCCTCTTTCTGATGCTTTGCCAGGCTCTAACTACAGCTGTCTTCAGTTGTTCTTTGTTTGTGGGTCTTTCTGCCTTTAGTTTTGCATTCAGCAAATGAAATGCATGCTCAATTGTGTTCAGATCAGATGAATGACTCGGCCATTGCAGAATATTCCACTTCTTTTCCTTCAAAAGCTCCTGGGTTGCTTTTGCAATGTGTTTTGGATCATTGTCCATCTGTACTGTAAAGCACCGTCCAATCAACTTTGCTGCATTTGGCTTAATCTGGGCTGACAGTATAACTCTAAACAATGACCCAGTGCCACTGGAAGCCATGCATGCCCATGCCATCACACTGCCTCCACCATGTTTTACAGATGACGTTGCATGCTTTGGATCATGAGCTGTTCCTATCCTTCTCCACACTTTTTTCTTCCCGTCATTCTGGTACAGATTAATCTTAGTTTCATCCGTCCAAAGAATGCTTTTCCAGAACTGGCTTGGCTTTTTTAGATGTTTTTTGGCAAAGTCTAATCTGGCTTTTCTATTCTTCAGGCTTATGAACAGTTTGCACCTTGTGGTGAACCCTCTGTGTTTGATCTCATGAAGTCTTCTCTTGATTGTAGATTTTGACAATGATAAGCCCACCTCCTGGAGAGTGTCCTTCACTTGTCTGGATGTTGTGTATGGGTTTATTTTACCATAGAGAGGATCCTGCAATCATCCACCACTGTTGTCTTCCATGGACATCCATGCCTTTTTAGGTTGCTGAGCTCACCAGTGCATTCTTCTTTCATCAGAATGTACCAAACTGTTGATTTGGCCACTCCTAATGTTGCTGCTATCTCTCTCTGATGGATTTGTTTCATTTTTGAAGCCTTACAATAGGGGCTACTCTTAAGAACTGTAATTCCTAGACCCTTCTTCCAATTTGGATGTACATACCCTCAAATTAAACATGAGAGTAAGCACTTTCAACCCATATCCATTATATAGCTTGAATATGTTTTGGTAAATACCTGAAAAAAACTAAAATTGTGCCTGTGTCCAAATATATATGGACCTAACTGTACATTGAAGGCTGATTTGTGGGCTTGAAAAAGAGCTGCAAGATTAACTGCCTTCAGTCATTAAAGAGGAAGTTAAGGAGAACGTCACTGAAAAATGGAAGTTCTGCTCTTCCTTATCCTTCCTCCTTTGCAAGTAAGGAGAACAATTTATTTTTTTTGTGGAGCGGATACCCAATTTTGACAGGTCCCACTCTCCACTTCCGCTGGAATTGCCTCTGCGATTCCACTGGAAGTTTGCCCCCCTACCTTCCTCCCCGCAACCTCTTGGGACACACTACAAGTCCCAAGAGGCTGCCGCACCATTCACATGGTGCTGTGTAGCTCGTGTATGCACAATGGGGAGCCAGCTGTAAAGCTGTCTTCCAACACTTAAAGCAGAACTTCACTCTCACAATCAACATTGGCAATTTTTAATCCTTATGCTGTTAGCGTTAATAAAGAGACAGTAAAGTATATAATATTTACTGGTTTTAAACTTTTTTTTTTACATTCCTGGTTTCCAGGCCTAGGCAAATGATGCCATATATCCCAGGAGTCTTCAAGGAGGGGTTTTCTCAGCTAAGCATACCCTCCTGTCTGCATGTCTGAGCTAAGGTGCTCCATCATGCTGGAAAAGGCATTGTTCATCACCAAACTGTTCTTGGATGGTTGGGAGAAGTTGCTGTCTGAGGATGTTTTTATACCATTCTTTATTCATGGCTGTGTTCTTGAGTTCTGAATGTGAGCCCACTCACTTGGCTGAGAAGCAACCCCACACATGAATGGTCTCAGGATGCTTTACTGTTGGCATGAAACAGGACTGATGGTAGCGCTCACCTTTTCTTCTCCAGACAAGTTTTTTTTCTGGATGCCCCAAACAATCGGAAAGGGGATTCATCAAAGAAAATGACTTTACCCCAGTCCTCAGCAGTTCAATCCCTGTACCCTTTGAAGAATATCAGACTGTCCCTGATGTTTTTCCTGGAGAGAAGTGACTTCTTTGCTGCCCTTCACCAGGCCATCCTCCAAAAGTCTTCACCTCACACACTCACACCTGCCTGCTGCCATTCTTGAGCAAGTTTTTGATGACCCAATAAATGGTCGATTTAGGTGCAATCTTATAGTAGCAGCAATATCCTTGCCTGTGAATCCATTTTTGTGCACAGCAATGATGACTGTACATGTTATCTTGAAGGTTAATATTTAAGTAATTCTCAAAACCTTTTGGCCAGGGTTGTACAGTTTTTTTTGTTGTGGTCTTTAAATTTTCTTAAACCTGACTGAAGAACCTCTTTAAGCCAGAAAAAAAAAATACCTCATTGCAAATGCTGGCTACCCCACCACCCACGTACACACACACGCACACTTTTTTCCTCCCATATTCTATCCAGCCCAGTGGCATCACAGAAGCATCCTGTTTTCCTGTTTGCTCCATCGATGGGGGGGATGGGGGTGTGAGCACCACTCAGCCCTAGAGTACCATGAGCCCAACCTGCATGATGATGTGCCCTCTTGGGGATGTATAAAATCAGGATGGGCTCACAGGGTGTAGCTGTCAAAAAGGACTGTCAGCACTGGACAGAGGAGGAAGTTGGGGACAGCACTGGAGCATGCAGTAAGTAGAAATTAGGAATATAAAAAGTTAATTGGCTCCTGTCTAAATTGGTCCTAGTATATGTGTATGATTTTGAGTTAGAGACCTTATATTGTAAGCACTTTGAGGGCAGTGACTGATGTGAATGTACAAAAATAGATTGTTGACACTATTTAAAATACTTGAAATATAAAATATATTTTTTATTACAAGGAAGGAC